GGTTTATCAGCTCGGGCATACACAGCATTAACATTTTGAAGTGTGTAATGGCCCCCATATGTTGATCTAGTTATGGATTGTTTGGTGGAATATCTACTTGGTAATCAGAAACATCGCTGGATTTTCTGCTTTAGTGACTTACTTTTTAAGGGCTAGTGAGAGAGAATTATCAATCTTATGAACATGGAGTAAAAGTTTCACTGAGAGAGAACCATTCCGTCTCTAGAGTTCATGAAACTCATAACCTTTCTCAGATTCCCCTTGGTTCTGTTCATTTCGTTCTCTTTATGACCTTACAGGAAGAAGCTTAACTGCTCTTAAGGAATCAGCAACTTTCTAACCTTAGAAGAAATCGACTCCCATAACTATTAAAAAAAAATGAATATTACGTGGTAATCTGTCTATGACGTAAACCATAGAAGCAGGAAACACTCCTCAAATTTTCTTTTTCCTGTTTCACCAAATGTACTCGCACTTCACTAATGGAGATATTTGCAAACTCGCGATGGAGATCCTTAATTTGTTGAATGTGGTGGGTGGCCCATAAGAAAGTGTGTAAAGGGATAGATATGATTCTTTGACCACTGTAATAAAAATAAAATGTTAGGGTGGGATGAGTTCATTCTTCCTCTTGTTTGATAGGATTTTCTAGTGGCTTTTGCTTTCCGGGTGGATAACATTGAGGTGCTTTGTTATTAGGAACAAGTTTAATATACTTATTTAGAATTTTGGGATAAAAACCTAGGCATCACACATAGAAGTTCTTGAACATCATAATTAAGAGCATCACACTTAAGAGTTTGGTTGCATCATACAATCTGAAAATTAAGAGAAATTTCAAAATATTTTGTTGAATAATTGAATTTTTCTTCAAAATGTATAGCAAATTTTAACTAATAATTTTCAAATAGGATTAGACTAGGAAATTCTAATACTAATAAAATCATGAAATATTGTTATCAATAAAAATATAAAACTAAATACTAAAAAAAACAAAGTCCTAATATTACGAAGTTTTTATGGAAATAGACTCTTAAAGAAGAGTACAATATATTTATATTTAAAATAATTATAGTTTCTAATTTATTTAGTCAATTTAAACTTTAAGACATTTTGCATGATTTTGACATTTTCCTTTGGTTGGAGAAAGCTTGTCAATTGTCAAATAAAACCTTGATCTTTGAGCTCCCCATTGAAATTTAGCAAATTTTTCCCTCTATGTTTTCTTCAGGAGCAAAAATAATAAAAACACAATTGTTTGGGAGTATGAAACCTGGGCAGTAGTATGAATCCAACATACTGACAAATTTATGCTTTGATTTCCTTGAGTTCAGCATCATTAAATTGGATTCTAAGTTCCTTTTTGCATTGAACTTCTATGAAACTCTATAATTATTGAAAGGTCTTTAGTAACTCAATTTGTTTTTTTTGAATAAAGAGTAACCTTAAAATCTTTACTCTTAAGGAAGGTGCTATAGTTTTTTTTTATCAACTTCAATGGGTTCCTTCTATTTATTCTTTTTATTGATTGTAGACACCTTTAGATGTTTATATTCACACATGTTTTTCATCATCATTGGTTGTAAAACTGGATCGTACATGCAGAGCATAGGATGGTAAATATTGGTAGTCTCATACTGAACATGTTGATCATAAAGCTAAGATCGACCGAGAAGAATGTGGGAACATTATGGGATCTGCATTGCATAAGGTTGAAATACTGTAGGTACCATGACTAATGGAGAAAAAATTTTGTTGAGTTACCAAATTACTTATATTATCTAAGTTATTCTTATGGCTGCAATGTAGTTGAATTGAAAGATCAGACATTTCAACCATGGAAATTAGAGCAAGATTCTTGCAATAATTCTTATGAATGAAAAGCTTATGTTTATTTTCATAACTGATTAAGGTTTGAAAATTTGGAGAATAAGTTTAATTTCCCTTTATTTTAACTGCATAGATGTGCTTATTTAGAGTCAAGAAAGACTTATCAATTTTAACACTTATTAATGATGAATTATCTTCTTTAAGATTTAATATGTTAGAATTTTCTCATAATTTTAGTGTGCAATTTTGGTGAAGAGGAGTGCTAAAATAGAAGAGCAAGTGAAAAAATCTTGGGAATTGTTTTGAACTGCTAAAACTCGTCTGGAAGAGGCTAAACCAATTAAGTTGAAACGGTTTAGACAAATGGAGCACGATTTTACAGCCTAGTGGTGGATCACGAGTGAGGCCCATGTGCTGGTCACCCATCACTAGAGAACATAGGGGTTTCAACTATATACTCAACCGAAGTGGTGGTAATAGATCAGAGTTCTGTACTTTCCTAAATAGGATTAAATTAAGAAGTAACAAGACTAATAAGATTATGAAATACTGATGCTTATACAAGTAGAAGAACTCACATTTTTTTTTTTGGAAATAAAGTAGAAGAATTAACATTAAAAAGAACAAACATCTAATGTTACTAAAGTTATAACAGTAGACTGTTAAGTAGGACAATAGTTTTATATTTAAAATAACTATAATATACAATTTATATAGAAAATCTAAATTTAATACATTGTACATCACTCTGTAGTTGATGTAAGGCTCCAGACTGCGAGAAGGTTGCTAAATTGCTCTATTTTTGTATCATCAACACAGAAATAACTTCACATAGTGATAATTTTATTCCCAATTAGTATTGGATGTATTCATAGTGATATCTGAATTTGGGATTTTGCTTGGCACCTAAGGATATTGATGGACTTTTTCTATCAGGTAATAACAAGCTTGCCGCCTCCTGATTCAGGGGCAGATTTGAGCTACCACAGTCAGGAGGAGCAATTGATGCTTCTCGCAAAGGTCTTTTTCTTCATCTGCTTTGCTGATTGGTAGCTATATTATATGCTTGTTAAAATTCGGAGTCTCTGACGATTTTTACCCATCAGGTCTTGAATGCTGGTGATGATATGGTTGGTTTGGAGCAGTTGGAAGAAGATGCAGATGATATAGCACTCCACAAAGCTCGTCGCATGATGGGATCTATGAGTGCAATGTCTGGTGCAAACGGGATGGTTTACATGGAATATAGGTATGGGTTTGAATTGTTTTCTCATCTATGTAGCTCATCTGCTGCCTCTTTTGTTACATGTGTTAATGGTTACTTTTTTTTAAAAAAAATGGAATATTAACAGTTTTGGTCCTTGCCATTGCCAATAGTTACCTAGTTGGTACTTGCTGACAGTTTTATAGTTTGTATCTGTTATTTCAAAAGAAAAAAAAAAAAACAAGAGAAAAAGCAAGTTATGCATATATATAGTGAGTGCTGAACATTTTCTTCTGCATTGGTACTAATGCATGTTCATTCTTTGCAGTACTGGACGCAAACATCTAGGGCAAGGCAATGTGAAAAGCAAGCCTAAGGATCCATCCAAGAGGCACTATTTGTTTAAAAGACGTTATGGATAAGAAAGAACCAAACCATGTAGGGGTTCCTTCTTTTTGTTCTTTGTTCACGTTCACCACAATCTGTAAATGCCTACTAGTGGCAAAAATGTAGTAACTGTCTCTCCTAGAGAGAAAATGATATTGAGGAATTATGCAATCATAAAACATATGCAAATTATGATGTTTTTATGGTTGATTATGGAAATTATGCAGTAGTCTTATCCCGATGTTCTCCAAAACTTTGGTTAACATATGCTTAGTTACTAGGCTGGTTGGATAATGGCCATCTTGTATAATTTAAATGTGAAACAAGAAGTATATACTTTTGGTTTAAATCTAAGGATGTTTCATGAATGCAACCCAGTGGTAAGTTCTTGTTTCGTGCCTGTCTTCTTGCTGTTATTCTCTAGGTTGTAGCCCGGGTGGGCAGATTTTTCGTTCTTTTTTTTTTTTTTTTGTTTTCAAAACAATATATTGTTTGATTCGTTCATCCATAATGTTTGTTCCTTGAGACGATGATTCTTTTTTACTTTGTCTTGATATGGGAGACCGGAGGGAACATTTAGGACAAACCAAGTATGACAAACAATGGAGAAAATTTCAAAAAAGCAAAATTTCATGTGAAATGAGAGGATGTTTTTAGTTTTATGGTGCAGAAAATAAGTTGTCAAGAAAACTAGGGAAGGAGTTTTGTGCGAAGTGTTGTAAGGTAGTAGGAATTTCAAGAGTTTCCTAAAGTTTAATGTTTGGAAGATGACTTCCTGAAATTAAACAAAATCTC